GATGAAAAGTGTATGATCATGCATCTATCTTGGAAAAAATGTGCATATTTTGTGATTAAGGACTTAGACATTTAGTTATAGGTAAATGAAAGCTAATTGGTGTAAATATGTTTACTTTGTAAGAGAAATTGAAGATTGATGATCAGAATACCGCCAACCATATTATTTTGAAAGATCCAGCTTCACAATGCTTCAGCCACATTCGATGCCTAGATTATCAAAACATGAATAACTACTTTTGACCAAGTAATTAGTCCAAGATTTGGTCTCACTTCTTCAAATCTCTACAAACATAATTGGTTCCAACTTCCCATGACTTCCTCAACTTGTTACTTCTCCCAAGCCTATAAATTGCAGCTCCCAAGGATCATCTTAACACATTTCATTTTCCATGCTTTTGTTCTTCCTTTCTACTTTGTTATCAAACTTTAGTTTTTGAGTTTTTTGTTCTAGTATTTAAGTTTTGTTCTTCAATTGAATTTTCTACAATTATTCTTTATTTATTTTATTGCAATTCTATTTGTTTTAATCTTGTACTTTCTTTCCAACTTCAATGAAAATGCATTATTTTGTTATCTTCGTTTGTTATTTCATTTATGTTACTTCAATGAGTAGCTAAATTATTTCTTCAACACTCCTACGAATGGTTTAGTTCATCTTATTTTAAATTACATCTATCAGTGAGCATGACGTATTACACTCCTTTTGCTTATCTTGATTGATATAATTTATCCAATTGATTTTCTTGTTGGTCACTTGTTAAATCATATTAATTTGAATTTAATTCTGAAAATGTTAGAGTCAAACGGATTTCATCAAAGTAAAACGGAAAGTTACTTAGAAATAAGAACTAAAATAAGATCCTAAACATAGACTCTCTTACCCGTTAAACGTAAGTTGGAGTTTGATTTATTTAGGATGCTAGGGTTTCATAGACATGTGTAAATGTTAGTCTAAGCTTTTAAATAGACCAAAAACGGTATGGAATACAAGTTGAACCAGTTTGCATCAAATGAGTAGAATAGCAAGCACAATTGGTAGGTGTAATTAATCTTTTTAGAACTAAACAATAGCAGGGGTTGAATTTTTAAATTCTATTATTTTTCGTGTTCAAACAATTTCACCAATTTTTTATCTCAAACGTGATTGCTCATTAAACAGTTTACAGATTCATTTTAAAAGAAAACTAGTCCATGTGGAGATGAATTTGAAATATTTTCCATAGTATTACTTGTGACAGTGGACACTTGCACTTACCCTCGAGCTATTAAGCAAAGACTCAACGGACTTGGTAGATGATTTGTTAAGTATCTTATTGCTTCTTCTTCTTTACTTTGGTTTAGGTAATCCTTTGAACTTTACCATGTTAATGTACTGTTGTAATATATACCTACATAAACATTAAAGAAATCAATAAAACAATGGAACATACTACGTGGTCATTCATAAAGCATGAAGCTAACAACAAACTAAAAGAACATATAATCAATTGAAATGATCATATTGTACGATTATGTGAGTTATAAACTATATACGTTAGCACTTATGTATCAGTTATAAACTATACAAACAACCAATCTAATAAAATATCCTCCATAATCAAATGCTCAATACGGTCATCATGACTTAAGCCAAACACCAATTGTAACATACATTAATAGAAAATATAATCAATTTAAATTACCATTCTAAGATAGACCTATATAATAAACTATATAAGGTCATTTAGTTCTTAGAATTGAAGCAGTGTATAACAGGAACTACTCCACTAGGTACCTAAAGTTAAAAAAATCCCTTAGAAAAAACAAAAAAGATAGACCTATGTGTTTCATTTCTAGTAATTACGAAAGACAACTTAAGTAGGATAACACTTATTTGTAGATATAAATTATATCCGACTATAATGTTGAGTGCATGATGAAGAATTGATTAACCAGAATCAAGCTTACATAAACTTATATATGAACTATAAAGTATATCGAGTTATCAAACTAAACAATTAGCATACATTAATTATAATATTATCATCATTATGTAATATCTATCACACTTAAGATTGAAAGTCCAATCAAACTAGAAACTACAACATACACACCACATTGATAATTTCCATATTTACCTCTTGACAGCAAGGCCTCCAAGAAGCTTGTAGCACAGAGATTAAACTTGAGCAATGACACCGAGTCCTCTGTTGTTGACTTTCTTAACATATAGCTCTGTTTTCAGGAAACTTGAAACACTTTTGAACAACATTCTTAGATTCTCCTTCCTTGCTCGCCTAAACATAGTAGAATGCATAGTCAGACACCATATCCAAAAATCAATAGTTACAACACCTAAATTAAAATACCCAACAGTTAATATAATATATATGATCAGTCAATTCTTGTAAAATACAACCACTATTAGCTAAATAATTCAAATTCACTTCAATGGATGCGAAATGCTTTTAATGCATTGACAAAGTATATAACATTCATATCCATATCCTCAATAATGTTAAACTTGAAACTCGAATCAATCAAACAGCTCCAATAACCTCCATAGAAGAAAAATGCAACTATGTAAAAGATATGTCACCAACAAACACAATTGATTGAACTGAACATTGAACTTAACCCCCCACCCTCGATCACCTTATTTACTGAATGTAAAGTATATACACCTATGTCCCACTCAAAAAAACCAATAGACTAGGATAATGCCATATATTAAAAACCATATTGAAATTTTTTTTAAAACTTCTATGACCAAGATACTATATTAGTGACGAGCATATGAAATCGATGACCAAAATTCTTCAAACTGCAATGACGAGCATATTTTAAGACCTACATAATCAATTTTAAAATCTAAGAAATTCTTCAAACACATAGAAAATTTTAAAACCTATGAAAATTTTAATTACCGAGGGGCGACCCTTTGGCCTTTTTGCCTGCACTGTCCCCATACCCGTACATACGTAAGAGATCATTGCTTGATAAAGTTGCATTCCTTGTGGCTTGAACCCAATACCTCCAGGATATTTCTTGAAGCCTCAAGCCACCCAAGCTATCCATTGGGGACAACAGTAGAGCATATTTTGATACCTACAAAATTATTCAAACTATAGTCCATTATTTTTAAAACCCCCAAAAATACTACCCATATCAGTAACTATATCAACTACAGAGTACTTTGAAGTAAGAAATCGAACACACACAAAATCGAATACTTTTTAAATACCATATACCCCCAACACCGAAAATTAAAAAGTTTTTAAATACACCAAACTCGAACACCCAAAATCTGAAACAAGAAACAAAGCGAAGTTTTTAATAGTAGAATCTTGAAAACGGACTGGTGGAGACGCGCGAATCTGAAACAAGATGAACGAGACGGGCTGTCGGTGACGGTAAATGCATAAATGGAAAAAACGGGGTGACGCTCTACCGGAAAAAATGATGAGAAGCGAGAGGTTTTTTGGGTAGTTTTTTTTTCAAATAAAGAAGATGAAGATACAATGGTGAGAAGTGACGCTAAATTTGGGTAGTTTTTTAGGAAAGTTTAAAGTGGCATAAAATTAGGGATTTAAAAGTTTAACCTCCCAAATCAACCATTTTGAATTTTCATAATTTTAATAATATTTCAATGTATACAAAAAATGATACAGTGGTAAATTGTTGATGAGTTTCATCTTAAAGAAGTTTATTTTAAGCAAAAGTGTAAATTTTGTAGAATGAATCCCTTTAAAGACCTATCAATGTACTGATCTCTTTCAAGAATCAAACTAGTAGAGATAGCGGTGAAAATTTTTTGGTGCAACACTTTATAGAGAACCACTATATATATAAGTTGGTGGTACAATACTTTTTCGAAACTATAAAAAATTATTTTCAATTTATACATCATTTTAATGTCTCTTTTGTCTAATTGTTGCCAACAATTTCAATATTTATTTTTGTTTTCAATTTATACGTTGTCATTACATATAGGTAATATTTTATCTATAAATTATTGTATAGATATTCTTTTCCCCTTAAAATCATCATTTTTGTTATTCAATTGTTCTTATTTTATATAATTTTTAGTTTCAATTTTGCATTATTTAAAGAAGTCCACAATTTAGTGATTAATTGTCTAAGGTGTATTTTTATTAACTTTATATTATATATATTATGAATTGGACTATTCGAGGTTATTTTAAATATAATAGTTGGTAAAATTTTGGATTAGACTATAAAATTGTCATGTTTCAATTGCTTTTATACATATAATTATTCTTATTCTTATTTTATGTTATAGCCTTTTATTTTATTTTCATTAATGTTTTTGTAGATTTAGACTTGAAATCTAAATGGAGAGCTATATAAAAGAAAATTGATTGGGTCATCATCCACATTGAAGAAAATTAATAGTAGTTTTGATAGATATAATTGTTGATAACAATTGTAATATTTAAGACTAAGTTCGTAAAGTATATTACAAAAATTACCATGCAAGCCTCAAAATCATACTTTTATCAATTTTTGGAATTACTTATTTGAAAATGAGTATGAAGCCCCTATCAACAAAATTTCTAGATACGACACTGAATATTGTAGTATTTGAATTTTCCATTTTCTTATACCTCAAGTTGGCGGTGTGTAGATGATGATTAACATGAAAAAAAAAAGTAAAAATACAAAATATTGTTTGTAACTAATTATTGGAAAAGATAAATTTTATTTTGAGTAATTATATCTTCATGATGTGGTTGAAATTCAAATTATTAAAAAAAAATAGATTACGTTTGACTTTTCAAAAATAAAACTAACATTTCAAAAATCAAACCAGCAGAGATAAAGATAAAGGTGGAAATTTTTTGGCGCAAGATAGTATAGAGAAGCTCGTATAAAAAGTCATTTCCAATGTGATCAAAGAATCAACTGTGAAGAAATCAAGAGAAATTATAGGGGAATAGAAAAATTCCAAATCAAAGCAACAGTAATACATTTGGAGTGAAGAAGTCACCAGAAAACATGGAGAAGACGATTAGAAATTCAATGCCAGCCCCAAGATCTGTCCGCAAGAAACAAGAAGTTTGGTCTCACAATCTTCACGAAGAGTTAGAGCTGCTGAATGAGTATATTCCAGAGTTTCTAGTAGTCACCATCGATATTGGCTGGTTGCTAGATGACTAATAGAAATTGTTCTTTACGTTTAGTTGAAAAAGGTTTTTACCCTCGTGAGCTCGATCGATGAACCAGGATTTCTTTGGTATACTTCAAAAGGTATTTCGGAAGAAAAATTCTACGATTATCTCCGATTCAACGATTAAACATACTCCAACTCGGTCTCACACTCGTCGATCAGAAGGAAAATGTAGCAATGACTTTAGAGTTTAATTTTAGAGATTTTGATCACATTAGCGATATGAAAGGCATTTCTTTGCTGGATTTGTTTCTAAAGAACAACGGATTTGATTTCTACAAATTGAAGAAAGACGGAATAGTTCCAGAGAATTTCACCACTCTGTTTCTACCCATTTGTCATAGTGGTAGAATCGAGAGATTGATCACCTTTCATGGCTTCTATGAAATTGCTTATCTCCTCAAACGGCTCAAAATCAAATTCATACCCATTTTTATGGCAACGTTTGCCGCCACCGCTCAACATCTATTAGGTACTAATAAATCACTAATGAATTCAAAAGCTTAAATTGAGGTGTTACAGTAAATTTAATGTTTTATACATATTTGATAGGTGCTATCAGCAATTTGAAGCATATGGCTCGCTACTGTGATGGATTGCTCGACGGCAACCTAGCATTAAAAAAATTTGCCAAGCTACTCGACGTGAAGCGAATAGGTACTGCACATTTTGCCGGTTTCGATAGTTTACTCACAGCTTCAATATACACCAAGATGAAGCAAATGTTCAAGCTTCCACTAGAGCAGTGTGAAGGGTTTCTCTACAGCTTGCCTCATCGGATTAAGGCTTTTTGGTCAATCCTGAAGATCATCAATCCGTCCGCCACGACTCCTCCTGATAAAGCAACTATCTCAATTATGCCTAAGGACTCCCTTATTCAAGGTGAACCCCCACAATGATAATATGAATAACCCCAATAACAAGACGATAAACCAACCCCAAGAAAGTTAAACAGATTTATCCTTGGTAAGATGATCAAAGATAAAAAAGAAAAGAGAACTTGTTTCTATCTTAAAGATTTCGAACTCTCCACAACCTAATTGATCAAACTAGATTGAAAGTTCTAAACATGCATTATAAACACAAGAATACAAAGAAAGCTTAAAGCTTGAGAGAGGTTGAACTCAATCTGAAATTTCATTAATCAAATGTTGTGTTTGAAAAGCAAAAGTATATCCCTATTTATATTTATTGGAAAGACACAATGAAAAGACACAACACTTGACCTAAATATTTCAAATACAACCACCACCCCTTCAAATCCATTCATGAACCCTTTTAAATGCAAATATATGGATTTGAAAATCATAATACATTAAATATGTGGATGAATCTAGATTTTTAGATTCATGAAGTTTCTTGGCTGATAAGATGTCTTTTCAAGCATGAAGGGATGCAACTTTTCACCAAGTGTGAACACCTTAGCTTGGAAGTGACCATTCAACCCTTCTTGTAGTCTTTTAGCTCTAGCTCTTGTGATTGGACCTTGTGGCATAATGATTGGCTCATGATTGGGTTGACTTTGAGCATAAGCTTTATTTGAGCTTGCTCCTCTTGTAAACTTTCCTCGTGCCCTCCATGATTACTCAATTCTATATTATTCTCCCCTTCTACGAAAAGATTCATCCTCGAACCTAAAGGATCTCCTTGCATGGCAAATTTGAAGTCGTGTGTATTCCACGGTCTTGCACTACTTGGATCTCCCTCCGCTTGGGATTTTTTGTGTTGGATGTGGTAGGAAGTGAAGTTGGGATGATGCTTCTGATATAGCCTCTTGGACTCATACGTCCCATGTAAACGACATTGGCTCATGTTAGAAGCAACTCTTGACTTTTGCTTTTCAATAAGCAATTTAACCTCCTACGATTCAAAAGAAAATCTTGGTATACTTAGTTTAAGTGCACCTGTTAGAAAGCAACTTCGTTCTTTTACAAGCTCCTGTATATGTCGTTTTGAAAACAAAATAATACTAGCTTCGAAAACTCTCATAACCGGACCTTTTTTTCTCATCAACACTTTTCTCTTGTTTCTCACTTTTTTCACCCTCCTCATTTGTTTTTGCTGCTTTTGTCTCAACCGCTTTTTCAGAGCATAACTTCTTACAATCTTCGGTGGTCTTCTCCTCACACATAACAACCTCATCATTTGAAAAATCTTCCTCTTTCGCATCATACATAACGACCTCAACATTGTCTGAATCACCCTTTTGGAGATTTGGATGTTCTCTCTCATATTAGATTGATCTGTCATCCTTTTGGGCATACTTAAAAATCTCGACTTTCATCTCTTCCTCGAGATTTGGATGCTCTCTCTCATTTTGAATTGATTTGTCATCCTTTTGAAGCTTAGGGAAATCTTCCTCTCTTTGAATGAATTGTGTAGCTTGTCTCTTCTTGGCTTGGTCTCTCGATTTTAATTCTTGATTTAACTTGGAAATGTACTTCATGGATTTGTGCATTTCAGCAAAATTATCTCTCATATACTTCCAAAACGTGTCCTCACTAATGTGATTCTTATGACGTCTTCGCCTTTGGTGAAACATTTTGACTTCTAATGTCTCAAACTTAGCAATTCTTGTAGTATTCTTATGAAAATCATACAATAACACTTCAATATAGCATAGAATATGAAAAGTCACAAAATCTAAAATTTAGGAAATAAATACAGAAACATTTTATAATAAGCAAAATGGAATGGAAAGAAAAAAGATAATGAGTGAAATGGTGTGAATCAAAAGAAGATGAAGAGTCAGTTTTTTTCCCTTGAAAACAAAATATTTTTTTCCAGCAAGTATGATAAAAGATGAACCAAATATGAGAAGATGAAGAGTCAAGCGAGATGAAATTAGATGTAACGATTGGATGAAGAAAGAAAGAAAGATGAAGAACAAAGAAAAGCAAATAAGATATAATTTGTTTAGAGCAAAAGCTCTGATACCAAATGATAAAGGGGTTGAAGACTCCCTTATTCAAGGTGAACCCCTACAACGATAATAAGAATAACCCCAATAACAAGACGATAAACCAACCCCAAGAAAGTTAAATAGATTTATGTTTGGTAAGATGATCAAAGATCAAGAAAAAAAGAGAACTTGTTTCTATCTCCAAGATTTCGAACTCTCCACAATCTAATTGATCAAACTAGATTGAAAATTATAAACATGTATTCTAAACACAAGAATACAAAGAAATCTTAAATCTTGAATGAGATTAAACTTAATTTGAAATTTCATTCATCAAATGTTGTGTTTGAAAAGCAAAAGTACATCCCTATTTATAGTTATTGTAAAGACACAATGAAAAGACACAACACTTGGCCTAAATAGTCCAAATACAGCCACCACCCCTTCAAATCCATTCATGAACCCTTTTAAATGCAAATATATGGATTTGAAAAATACATAATACATTAAGTACGTGGACGAATCTGGATTTTTAGATTCATGAAGTTTCTTGGATGACAAGATGTCTTTTCAAGCTTGTAGGGATGCAACTATTCACCAAGTGTGAACACCTTAACTCAGAAGTGACCATTAAACCATTTTTGTAGTCTTTTAGTTCTAGCTATTGTGATTGGACCTTGTGGTATAATGATTGGCTCATGATTGGGTTGACTTTAAGCAAAATCTTCATTTGAGCTGATTTGAGGTTGCTCCTCTTGTAGACTTTCCTCGTGCCCTCTATGATTACTCAATTCTATATCATTTTCCCCTTCTTCGAAAAGATTCGTCCTTGAATCTAAAGGATCTCCTTACATGGCAGATTTGAAGTCGTGTGCATTCCACGGTCTGCATTACTTGGATCTCTCTCCGCTTGAGATTTTTGGTCTTGGATGTGGTAAGAAGTGAAGTTGGGATGATGCTTTTGATATAGCCTCTTGGACTCAAACATCCCATGTAAACGACATTGGCTCATGTTAGAAGTAACTCTTGACTTTTGCTTTTCAATAAGTAGTTTAACCTCCTACAAAATTCAGAAGAAAATACTTGTATACTTGGTTTAAGTACACCCGTTAGAAAGCAACTTCGTTTTGTATACTAGCTTCAGAAACTCTCATAATCGGACTTTTTTTCTCATCAACACTTTTCTCTTGTTTTTCACTTTTTTTCACCCTCCTTGTTTGTTTTTGCTGCTTTTGTCTCAACCTCTTTTTCAAAGCATAACTCCTTACAACCTTTGTTGGTCTCCTCGTCACACAAAACAACCTCATCATTTGAACAATCTTCCTCTTTCGCATCATACATAACGACCTAAACATTGTCCGAATCATCCTTTTGGAGATTTGAATGTTCTCTCTCATATTAGATTGATCTGTCATCCTCTTGGGCATACTTAACAATCTCGACTTTCATCTCTTCCTCGAGATTTGGGTGCTCTATCTCATTTTGAATTGATTTGTCATCCTTTTGAAGCTTAGGGAAATCTTCCTCTCTTTGAACAAATTGTGTAGCTTGTCTCTTCTTGGCTTCGTCTCTCGATTTTAATTCTGGATTTAACTTGGAAATGTACTTCAAGGATTTGCGCATTTTAGCAAAATTATCTCTCATAGCCTTCTAAAACGTCATCACTAATGTGATTCTTATGACGTCTTCGCCTTTGGTGAAACATTGTGACTTCTAATGTCTCAAACTTAGCAATTCTTATAGTATTCTTATGAAAATCATGCAATAACACTTCAATATAGCATAGAATGTGAAAAGTCACAAAATCTAAAATTTTGGAAACAAATACAGAAACATTTTCTAGTAAGCAAAATGGAATGGAAAAAAAAAGATATATGAGTTAAATGGTGTGAATCAAAAAAAGATGAAGAGTTACTTTTTTCCTTGAAAACAAACCTTTTTTTTCCAGCAAGTATGATAAAAGATGAATCAAATATGAGAGGATGAAGAGTCAAGTGAGATGAAATTAGATGTAACGATTGGATGAAGAAAGAAAGAAAGATGAAGAACAAAGAAAAACAAATAAGATATAATCTGTTTAGAGCCAAAGCTCTGCTACAAAATGATAAAGGAACTATCTCAATTATGGTTGAGTACTCCCTTATTCAAGGTGAACCTCCACAATGATAATAAGAATAACCCCAATAACAAGACTATAAACCAACCTCAAGAAAGTTAAACAGATTTATGTTTGGTAAGATGATCAAAGATCAAGAAGAAAAGAGAACTTGTTCATATCTCCAAGATTTCGAACTCTCCACAATCTAATTGATCAAACTAGATTGAAAATTCTAAACATGCATTCTAAACACAAGAATATAAAGAAAGCTTAAAGCTTAAGAGAGATTAAATTCAATTTGAAATTTCATTCATCAAATGTTGTGTTTGAAAAGCAAACATACATCCATATTTATAGTTATTGGAAAGACACAATGAAAAGACATAACCATTGGCCTAAATAATCCAAATACAACCACCACCCCTTCAAATCCATTCATACCCTTTTAAATGCAGATATATGGATTTGAAAAAAATATAAGATATTAAATATGTGGATGAATCTAGATTTTTAGATTCATGAAGTTTATTGGATGACAATGTGCCTTTTCAATCTTGAAGGGATGCAACTCTTCACCAAGTGTGAACACCTTAGCTTGGAAGTGACCATTCAACCCTCTTGTAGTCTCTTAGCTCTAGCTCTTGTGATTGGACCTTGTGGCATAATGATTGGCTCATGATTATTGGGTTGAGCTTGGGTTGATCTCAATTGATTTCGAGCATAAGTTTCATTTGGGCTGATTTGAGCTTGCCAATCCTATAGACTTTCCTCGTGCCCTCCATGATTACTCAATTCTATATCATTAATGATAAAAGAACTATCTCAATTATGCTCGAGAACTCTCTTATTCAAGGTGAACCCCCACAACAACAATAAGAATAACCTCAATAACAATACGA